GTCAGGGCTGTTGAATTGTCAAATAGCTAGAATGAAGCTTATACGCTGTAAAGGTTTAGCCCTGAACCACGCTGCTAACCTTCATTTTTGGGCTTTAGAATTTGGGTATTTAGGGTTGTCTGTCGTCTCTAGGGTCAGGGAAGTGTAGGTAGGTTGCCATGTCGGTGACGGCCGCGCAGGAGCGGATGGCCTTGCAAACAAGACCAGGGATTCGCAAAGTCGATTTGACAGGATTCGCAGGATTAAACATGAAACGGCACACTGGCGTTAAAGTTTGGGGTTGTAGAGTGTGAGAAGGGGACCGGCAGACACGTCTGCATAGACAAGGCATGAAGACAGAAACGATGCTTCTACGACCTTACTGGCTTCTGTGTTGATAAAGCTACCTTCTAGCCGTTATATGGTGACAGTGTAACCCATGCAATGCAGGTGCCTAAAGCATGAGTCTAAAATTGCTAAGTCGCTACGGGCACACACACAAACACGCGCGCACACAGCAAACAACAATCAAACGACAATACATCATGTCCAGACTCGCTTTAGCGCAGACACTCACTCACACACAAAGCCTAAACTGTAATTCTTGCACTACGAACCTGATATATTCATATTAATTATATATATATATATATGTGTGTGTATACAGACCACTTTGTTTGCTTAACTGTTTATGTGTCAATATGTATCTAGGTTCGTTTATGTAATTGATTGTTTCTGAACATATAAGCCCAGAAAAACTGTGTATCAATATACAGATGTATACATGCTACAGTTAAAGTATATGTATGTATGTATGTATGTATGTATGCATGTATGCGTGCTTTTCTTAATGTATGTATCACCCCCGCATCCCGTTGACGGACCCACGGGGCTAAGGCTTCAGTTCAAGACCCCACCCCCAAACCAGAAACCCCCAAACCTTACGCCCCAAACCCTGTAACCCTAAACTCCAAACCCCTAACCCCCTAAATCCTAAAACCTAAATCCCTAAACCCTAGACCCCTAACGCCTAAACCCTAAACCCCTAAACCCCCGATCCCCCAACCCTCCACCCTGAGCCTCGCCGGCTTCTTCCATCTTTTTGTTCGCAAAGGCAGCCTGTCTGAGCGTCTGGCAGGGCAGGTTTAGGGTTTAGGGTTTCGGGTTTAGGGGTTTAGGCAATGTAGGGGCCTTAAGAATTATAGGATAGGGTTGTGGGGTTCATTCTACTATATTCACAGTAAGGAACCAGGGTAGTGTAGGGGCCTTAATGATTAGGATCGGGTTTTTGGGGTATATTATACTCTAGTTATAATAAGGAACCTGTTAGATGCTCGAACTTGCTACCGGTGTAAATGCTGATGTGGAGCCCTACTCTGCGCTTGCCATGCTTAAAGGCAGTGCCTGAAGGGCCTGAGGGATTTTGCACTACGTGCGTATGAAAGGTACTGAAGCATACCTTAACCCACCAGAACCTACTTTTTGGCAGAGTCCCTATAATTCCCTTATTAGGGTTTATAATAAGAACCTAGTGCGTTTTGGTAGGTTAAGGTATGATTTGTCCGCTGTTGAGTGTGTGTCTTAAACTTTGCTAACTAACTCGTACCCTAAACCCTATAAACCCTAAATGGCACGGGGCATTGGTTGTGCAGCGCCAAATTAAAGGCGCGCAAAGGACGTCTACACCGGGCCCTCAAGTCCAAAATCCGCCCTCAAGAGTAGGGTTTAGGGTTCAGGGTTCATGGGAGTTCTAGGCCTAGGATTGTTGATCAAGCTTCACAGAGAGCAGTTACCCCGATATATGCATACAGGCAGCTTCATTTGATTTAGATGCGAGCTTCTGGGCACGGCTCCAAGTGGCGATTAAAAGGTCTCCGGTCTGCCGAATTCTTAGCGAGGCTTTACTCCTAACAGATCGGAACCACCCCCAACCCTAAACCCTAAACCCTAAACCCTAAACCCTAAACCCACATTGACTAGTGGAATCTCCAACCCCAACCCATACCCAATGGGCGCATTTGGGTTTAGGCAAAGCTTAGGCCAGACGAACGTCATTACGCTGAAGCCCTGTACCCTGGAGCCTAAACAACGCCATTTTGTTGAGTTCAACAATAGACCGCCGAATAAAGAGGCCTTGATAGTCAGACAGGCATCTATCTTGAGGTACGCTATCATTATCCTAATACCCTAAACCCTAAACCCCAAAAAAGGGAACTATCATTATCCTAAACCCTTAACCCTAAAAACAAGGACTATCATTATCCTAAACCCTAACCCCTAAACATCCCTAAAC